TGGCTCACGTGCTCGTCCATCCTAACAGCTTTATCTAAGTGGACCTACACATCATGTCTTTTAGATGAACCACTCGGCCTCACTGCATTACCCCGGGTAATCTATGCTTGAATAGCTGCTAGTTTCTGTGCTATTGACCATAGGCATGACCACGTAGGCTTCCACCAAAAGTACTGCTGACGTGGCAGATGGCATCTTGCTTGGTGCTTTCTGTTATCATGCAGAAGTTTCATTTCGAAACGGAACCGTGAAAATCTTGCGTCCAGTCCCTCAGTTATCATCTTCTTTCCGTGCATACATATATACCCATATATCGACATTCTGGCAGATTGGACACGCCTACGACTTTCACTGGTGTACGCTTTGTTCACAATAGCGTTGAAATTCAGTTTCTGCTTATTCGTCGTAATGCGCTTAAATAAGTAGAAGTACACACTCCTGACGCACGGTACTCAATTTTCTATTACGAATCTTCAAAAGGTAGATAGTTTAGCTAGCATGTCATGCAATTAAAAAGTTTCTGCTCACCTGGCATGATAACCATATACCGGGCATAAATATTTAGCACCTTGACTCTTTTAGGACTTCCATTGCTTTACAAGACTTGTAGTGCCCCGTTACTATGTGCATCCCGGAACCCGCATCTTCTATGGACCTGTCTGTCCATCTTGTTACCAGGTGCCTAACAAATTCGCAGGCAGTAACTAGTAGCATTAGCTTTATTGGTTTGTTGTGAAAAGTACTGACTGTCGCTTCTGATGATTAAGAATTTGCGTACCGTGTAGCAGTACCATCTTTTGACTCAACTGGGTACCGATCCACCAAGCAAGTTACAAGTCTACTCTTATTTTGCGTCTTCCACTGGCACCGAAATTTTTTGGACTAGGTTCCTATTCATCGTCCTATAGAGACTAATGACATCGCTTACACCACTGTCCTACTTTCGGTGGACATTTACTGTTTATTCGGTGAGTTCTGGGGTCCTTTGCATGCACATTGTTGGTATTCAAAACGAGTATAAGCAAAGTGCTAACTAGGGTTTACCCTAGAACTTGCTTCTCAACGGTATTTACGTCGCAGCGCTCTCCAAAAGGGTTTAAGTCAGCGTATTTTCAAGGCCTAAACCTTCGCTTCCAATACGTGCTCTTGCGCTTCTGACAGTGAAGGCACTATTGCCACTGCAGTAACAACTATCGTCCGCCCCATCGTATTTTACAGTGTATATTCCAGTCCGTTCGTGCAAGCACCTTCTATCCATCACCGTTTCTTTCCAAGTACAGGTACAAGTAAGTAAGTTTATTTACAGCTTCAATAGCAGAAAGCCTAGAAACTGCATATTTTCCTTCCTTTGCTGTTTTCTTACGTATATGCCAAAAACTGTTTGTTATGTAGACTTGTCGTTCAACTGGGCTCCCTGAATAGAAGCCACTGGAAGGTTTTATTAAGACTAGTGATTTATAACTATTTTGGTTAGTTTCATCAATTAATATATATCTGCGTTTGGGAGGAGCAGAAATACCCATATATAGATGGTAATGTCGGATGAACTTAATTTGGCTGGACGCTCTTTAGACTTATCAGAATTTCTTTGCAATCATGCATTCACCATTATAAGAGTGATTTGAATTTTCACCTAGCTACACTTATACCAAAATGGAATTGGCATTCATGGGATGGACGGAATTCAGTGCCTGGTTAACGCCGTTGCATTGAATTCTAACCTACGCGTTCTAAACTTATCGGACAACACACTTACTGCTGATGGAGGAACGGAACTCGCGCGAAGCTTGGTGTACCTTTCAAATCTCGAGGTTCGTTAATATTTCTGATTATCAAGTCTCAAGTTGTCTGAGCTACTCTTATTTTTTCTTCTTTCTATTTCGACGATATATACGTATTTCCTGCTTTTATCAGGCAATTTTAAATGCATGTATAATTTTCATGTTAGATATCATGCCTAAAAAAGTTATTTTAGTAATTTTAATCATAGGAGCTCATTTTGGACGATTGCTTAATTCGAGGACGTGGCTGTCGCTCCTTGGCAAATGAACTTGAACGAGAAAATGTAGTTCCCAATCTGACGTGTCTCCGCCTCTACGGCAATGAAATCACACGCGACGCGGGTGTCCACCTTGCCCTCTGTCTTGCAGGAAAGAAAAAACTGAAACACCTCAACCTAAATGCAAACGAGTTTGGTTCCGAGGGCATCGATATGGTTATACGCACCCTTGAGTCTATCGACCTCATTGAGGCTCTCGAAATACCTCCAGCTGATCGAAGTATAGACGACAGTGTCTCGGACGACGTCGATCCCCGATATCGTGCATTTGATGAGGACCAAGGCAGTGATAATGAGGAGGAAGATGACTACGAGGAAGGTGAATACAATGAGGGCGAGGAGGCCGAGGACTTTGAGGATGATGAAGTCTGTCCTACGGAATCAGGTTTACACAGCATTGGCAAAAGTGGCGACTCTTCATTCCAAACAGTAAAAGAACGTTCTGTTGGAGGTCCCTTCGGATATGTGCCTCGTAAGTTATCCACAAAACATGTAAACCATGTAAATATCGCACACCCCTCTAGATATAGTTTCAGATTCTTGTGTATTTATCTGAAAATCCAGCTCGTTGTATGTTTCACACTATAAATTTACCGCAACAAAGTCGAGTGAGGCGTTTGAATGAGATGGCTGTTTGAAGCCTGCGACAATCGACTGTTATCTTAGGCGTTTTGCCATGCTTAAATGTCTAATCTCCCACCTCATATTGTCCGAAGATAATAGTACAATTATCTTACCAGTATGAACGGTTATTCTTTGTCCCCACAGGCCTTGTCCAAACCGACTCAACCAAAACGATCCTCATCAATGCTTACCACAGTGTTTTACGAGCAGACTAGAATTTGCAATTCTATATTCATACAGTTCAACTGTCGAGTGCGACGATGTCCACCACGTGTTTCACAGCAAGCTGGAAGCAAGGGCCGTGACCTATGCGTGCATTAGATTATGCTAAGAGTATAAGTGAGCCGCATCTGCACTCTGCCCCTCCCCCATTTGAGCGCAGCGTCATGATAAACTAAAGAAGATCGGAGGCAGGAGAGAGCGTAAGTGGCTGGCGCGGCCAGAGCTGCCTCTAGGCATGTCACCACACATGACTCGGATTGAGAGTGCCATAGAGGCCACATTACTAAAGAGCCATTACAGCCTGACTCTCAGGTCACCAGTAAACCACTCCACACAAACGTACAGTGAGCTGAATCCGCGGTGCGAGTTATCCCGTCATTTCCTAACCTAAGCCACGGATTTTAGCGCAATGCGACAGCTTCAAGCGCGTTAGATTTTCTATAGTGAGGAAAATGCCTTGACTCGTCGACCTCATTAACCAACTCCTAGTCACTATCCGAGTCAGTCAGTTAACTGATGCGGGGAATGAACGCAGCTGCTGACCTAATTAATAACCTCGTCTGCGTGTTCTGCGTACACGACCTGGACCCCAAACAAAAACGCCTGGATTCACACAAAAAGGGGTTGAGCGGTTCATCTCTCACATGTGTGAGAGTGCCAGAGGTCACGTTAAGAAGGAGCCTCTCCGTCGTCCACTCTACACAAACACAGATTAGGTTGACTGTGTGCTCTATGTTCTATCGTCAGTTCGGAACCTTCCAAGCTACGGCACTTAAAACATCGTAATGTTCCCAGGCTTGGATCGCACATCCAGCAAAGGAGCCGCATAAAGAAGGAGCTGAGGGTCATACTTCTCTCCCACATGAGGGGTACCAGTAGTAAATACGCTTTATGTGATGCTGGGCGTGGTCATGTCCGATGTAGGTGCTGGTGGGGAGAATAGCGGAGGTATGGTATAGTCAACGGCATTCTATCACAGGTTCTCATGGAGGCGCCTGTGGCCTAGTAGACCCATACGGAGTGTGAATGTAAGCGGAAAGTTGCGGTGGGTGCCGTAAGTGTATGCTGGTATCGTATTCAACGCAGTTTCATTTACCATGTGCTCGACACACGGTCTACAAACCAGATGGTCTACGCTCACACCGTGCCCGCCTGCTGGCTATCAGGGCCAACCTTACTAGACTAGACGATTACGTAGGTAGTAAGAAAACAGAGGCAACATGCCTGCGGTTTATGGATGAGGTTCAGCCCCCAACTAAGTGTATCCTTTTCCGTTCCTGCCTTGCCAGTTTGATTTGGACTTCTACCCATAGTTATGCAATAACTCCACGGCCATCCGAATTCGGGACCGAGCTTTTCACCAAATGCCTTGGGTACTTACAGATGATGACACCAGATTGGTGTGGAGGGTAATCACGATATTTGACAATATGCTGTGAATCATTCCTACTAAATTTCCCTCAATTCGCAACTTTGATCTTTCTATCCTGTCTAAAGTTTTCA